CCCCCCCCCCCCACTCTGACTCCTAGAAACCTGACGAAAAAGCACGTGGTGGCGCTGGGTTGGGCTCTGTCACATTGTCCCAAGGTCAAGTACATTGTCAAAGTGGATGATGATGTCATTGTGAACGTCTACAACCTTGCCAGACATATTAAGCAGACGTACAGGACGACCAGGGAAGCAGTCGTCTGCAGAGTGCCCAAAGTAGGTTGCTATAAAATAATATTAGACGTCTTTTTTTAGGTAGATCGTGTGCAATGTGATTAAGTTACGTTTTGCATACTAGACGCCCTACTTTAGGTCGATTTAAACAAGACGCATCATTTTTAAGTAGGTTACTCCCTTACATGTAACATTTAAGGAGGTTACTCCCTTACATGTAACATTTAAGTAGGTTTCTCTCTTACGTATAATATTTAAGTAGGTTACTCTCTTACAGTTAACATTTAAGTAGGTTACTCTTTAACAGGTAATATTTAAGTAGGTTCCTCTCTTACATGTACAATTTAAGTAGGCTCCTCTCTTACATGTAACATTTAAGTAGTATACTCTCTTACATGTAACATTTAATCGCACTTTGTTACAGAATTAACATTTTAATTAGTTTAAATACTACAAAGTTTAATATAAATGGCTTTACACATGCATTCACAGTTCATTTAATGTAAGAAAAATGTGTTATCATTCCACCGTACCAAGAAGTGGGACGCAACATTCTAGAATCCTCTGAACGCACTGTAAAAAAAATCCATAGGCTATTTTACAGATGAAATTTAAAAAAAAAAAAATTCTACACGCGATATAATTCTGACACCAAAGCAATACAATAATTAGTATGGAATAATATAACTTTTTATGTCATTACGTAATAGGTTACCTTTGTCGTCCTCACAGAACCTTCAGGTGCACAGAAGTAAGGTCAGCAAATGGTCAGTTAGCATGGAGGAATACCCATTTCGGGCTTATCCTCCCTATTGCCTCGGGCTAGGCATCTTCATGACGCGTGATGTTGCCCTGAGACTCTACGAGACAACGCGAGATGTTCGGCCATTTTGGATTGATGACGTGTACATGACGGGTCTTGTCGCGTGGAAGGCAGGGGTCACGTTGAAAGACTTCCATGCAAATCTCACAGTAGTCTTTCAAAATAGTTATCATCCACATCATAGAAACGCCATGTTTGTTTTGGCCCGGTTCAATAACAAACAGGGGTACCGTCAGTATTGGAGAGATTTGGTGGCTTCAGAAGGATGATTGCAGTAAAGTAATACGTCACAAGTCAAATGTAATAGAAGTCTTAACACATGATCGGCTAGCTGCCCAACACTGGATAATGTAGGGTAAAGCAATGTTTATTGCCGTCTATCGCACATACTGCACTAGGTGTTGTGTAGATGAGCAGCAGATAGTCTTTGAACCCGACAGTCTGGTATTTCAGGAGATTGTCCTGGAATATTTATATATTAATCTCGGATAACCCCCACCCCTCTAAAAATATATATCTTGTGAAAGCCCAAGGAGAGAGAAGGATCGGGAGGTTCCAGTAGTTTAGCTATATGGAGTCTGGCAACCCTAACAGCATATTGTCTGTTAGAGTCTGGTAACCCCAACAGCATATTGTCTGTTAGAGTCTGGTAACCCCAACAGCATATTGTCTGTTAGAGTCTGGTAACCCCAACAGCATATTGTCTGTTAGAGTCTGGCAACCCAAACAGCATATTGTCTGTTAGAGTCTGGTAACCCCAACAGCATATTGTCTCTTAGAATCTGATTACCCCAACAGCATATTGTCTGTTAGATTCTGGTAACCCTAACAGCATATTGTCTGTTAGAGTCTGGCAACCCTAACAACATATTGTCTGTTAGAGCCTGGCACCCCTAACAGCATATTGTCTGTTAGAGTCTGGTAACCCCAACAGCATATTGTCTGTTAGAGTCTGGTAACCCTAACAGCATATTGTCTGTTAGAGTCTGGCAACCCTAACAGCATATTGTCTGTTAGAGTCTGGTAACCCCAACAGCATATTGTCTGTTAGAGTCTGGTAACCCCAACAGCATATTGTCAGTTAGAGTATGGCAACCCTAACAGCATATTGTCAGTTAGAGTATGGCAACCCTAACAGCATATTGTCAGTTAGAGTATGGCAACCCTAACAGCATATTGTCTGTTAGAGTATGGCAACCCTAACAGCATATTGTCAGTTAGAGTATGGCAACCCTAACAGCATATTGTCAGTTAGAGTATGGCAACCCTAACAGCATATTGTCTGTTAGAGTATGGCAACCCTAACAGCATATTGTCAGTTAGAGTATGGCAACCCTAACAGCATATTGTCTGTTAGAGTATGGCAACCCTAACAGCATATTGTCTGTTAGAGTATGGCAACCCTAACAGCATATTGTCTGTTAGAGTATGGCAACCCTAACAGCATATTGTCTGCGTTATTTACGACATCAACGTTTCTTTTCATCTCCCAGCTCCTTGAGTTTAGTCCTAAGTGTTAGTGTTTGATTGTTGGCGACATCAACAAAATGTCTCTGTAGACTTGTTGGCGACATCAACAAAATGTCTCTGGAGACTTGTTGGCGACATCAACAAAATGTATCTGTAGACTTGTTGGCGACATCAACAAAAAGTCTCTGTAGACTTGTTGGCGACATCAACAAAATGTCTCTGTAGACTTGTTGGCGACATCAACAAAATGTCTCTGTAGACTTGTTGGCGACATCAACAAAATGTCTCTGTAGACTTGTTGGCGACATCAACAAAATGTCTCTGTAGACTTGTTGGCGACATCAACAAAATGTCTCTGTAGACTTGTTGGTGACATCAACAAAATGTCTCTGTAGACTTGTTGGCGACATCAACAAAATGTCTCTGTAGACTTGTTGGCGACATCAACAAAATGTCTCTGGAGACTTGTTGGCGACATCAACAAAATGTCTCTGTAGACTTGTTGGCGACATCAACAAAATGTCTCTGTAGACTTGTTGGCGACATCAACAAAATGTCTCTGTAGACTTGTTGGTGACATCAACAAAATTTATCTGTAGACTTGCTGGCGACATCAACAAAATGTCTCTGTAGACATGTTGGCGACATCAACAAAATGTATCTGTAGACATGTTGGCGACATCAATAAAATGCCTCTGTAGACATGTTGGCGACATCAACAAAATGTCTCTGTAGACTTGTTGGCGACATAACAAAATGTCTCTGTAGACTAGTTAGCGATATCAATAAAATGTCTCTCTAGATGTGTATGCGACATTAAAAAATGTATCTGTAGACTTGTATGCGACATCAATAAAATATCTGTTTTTTTGGTGATACTACACAGCAAATCTAACAATGTTTTCGGTTTAGCAATCTTATCGTCATTACTGGATGTAACAACTCAACAGCTGTAACTTAAGTAGCTGGTTTGACTGATGTCACTGTACCATATATGCCATAATCCATTACATGAGCACATTACATGGACACATAATATGGACACATTACACGGACACATGACATGGACACATTACATGGACACATTACACGGACACATTACACGGACACATTACACGGACACATTACACAGACACATTACATGGACACATTACATGGACACATTACATCGACACATTACACGGACACATTACACGGACACATTACATGGACAAACTGTTTAACTCAGTTACTTCCTAGACAGTTGTGTTACCCATGTCAAAACATTTGTACTTGAGAGAAGAATAAAAACACTTCGAGGCTGTCAGTACAGTTGCTTATTGATTTAATGGTATTTTCACAAAGGTACAAAAACTATACAAGATATACATGCTTTTGTAAACATGACAAGGTCAAAAGGTCAAATTTAAAAGAAAAAAAAACGCAAGAAAATTGTAAAGCCAAGGGTCAGAGTTCAAGCTTGGGTAACTTATTCGTACTGTAAGAGTTCAAGCTTGGGTAACTTATTCGTACTGTAAGAGTTCAAGCTTGGGTAACTTATTCGTACTGTAAAAGTTCAAGCTTGGGTAACTTATTCGTACTGTAAGAGTTAAAGCTTGGGTAACTTATTCGTACTGTAAGAGTTCAAGCTTGGGTAACTTATTCGTACTGTAAGAGTTCAAGCTTGGGTAACTTATTCGTACTGTAAGAGTTCAAGCTTGGGT